TTTTATTGTTATATATATATATATATATATATATATATATAATCCGATTGTTCTTGGACTTACCTAGAGTGTTCCATGACAGGCTACTACCCTGATATTCCCGAGATGGGTACTGATGAAGGCCCACAGGTATGATATCTACCGACCACCTTCTGTTGTTTTTTTTTTTTAATATGGAAATTGAATTTTATATTCCTTGGTATGAAAATAGATCTTTAATGCTGTGTTTCTGTTGGAAATGGTGCTTTTATTCACTATTATTTATTTGGATAGTATTTTACACAGCTGTGGCTGCATGCGGCAGCATGCACCTCCATTTTCATGAGATGGCCCAGGGGCATTCCGCCACATGCAGCCACAGCTGTATAACCTTGGTCTTATTTATCTATGTTATTTTTTCTTTTCATCAAATGAAACCAGGCTTCTTGTCCTTCTATTCTAAGTGTTTTCTTTTTTCTTTTTCTTTTTGTTTGTTTTTTGGTTGTTGGTTTTGGACTGAATTATTTGTGTTAAAATGGGCAGCTATTGCATGGTATTGATTTGATTCATTTGTTTACATTCATAAATACTGATGGAATCATAAGTGCCAAAAAAGAGCAAATGGAAATGAAATTAAAAACTTAATGAAGAAAGGAATTCTCTATGTAGCTTTATCTTTTTGTGTGTTGTATGCCTCATCATCAGACTTCTCACTCTAACCATGCAAAGTGTCCTTTTTGAGGTACTAGGACATAAGCGATCTAGACTGAACCTTGTTCTTTCTTCGCCTAACTATAAGCACCCGAGTCCCTTGCACTACCTGGCACTAAGCTCTGTCTTTCCATTTTCCATGTAATTATTGGCGAAGTTAGCATGGAAGATCATTTCAAAATCTTTTGGGTGGTTGTCTTTTGTAGAGAACCATCATCCCTCGTCCCTCTAAACTATTATTCTTCGGGGCTGTTTGGATGGGGTGTATAAGCCACTAGCACCAAACCGCATGAATGGGATGGGAACAGAATACGTTTTTGAAGGTTTACCCCCCATCCCAATAAGAAGCCATTCATGTACCAGCAGGGCTGAATTTCTGTATTTATGGGGCCACCAACACTCAATGCAGTCTGCTCTTAGAATTCCATCATACTGGCAACCTATATATGATTCTAACTGACCCTTAGGAAGATGAGAGGTAAGTGAGACCTGAGCCCTGTTCTCAGACGGAAAGGATGGTAATCAAGCTTGAGTTTGAATGACTTGTAATGTGATGTTTTTGTTAGTATGATAGAAAATATGTGTTTTGACTTAACATGCTTTTGTGGAGTTCTTTGAATTTAGTAGTGTAGATGCAATTTTTTTGGTGGAATGGTTTGCTCTATTGTTGGATGAATATTAGAAGTAACAGATATTCTTATCTAAGTGTGTCTAGGGTGTAGCTAGCTTTCATGAGATTGCAATGATTTGCTGATGGCTCGTAGAATTTTGATGTGGTTGTTTTATGAAATTCTCATTTGGATATGTTTGAACTGCAGCCTAGCCCATCTTCCAGTAGAGAGAGAGAGCTACAGACTCAAATGGTTCAGCTGCAACAAAGGTAAATGTTTCATGTCTGCCACCCCTTGATACCAGGGTTGTTTCTGCTTTTCATTATGTTTTCATATGACAAAAATATGGCTGGTCTCATAACACTATGACATGATTTCAGAATTGGGAGTCTTGTTGAGGAGTTGCAGAGAGTGAAAATAAAGAATGCTCAGGTAGGCAATTATATCGTTTAATATGCATTCCTGAGGTGCGTTAAACTGGGTTCGGAAATAACTCCTAGCTATTATTGAATTGTCTATTGTTTATGGATCTAACTCAAATCAGAAGTTTCCGGAGTCCCTAAGCATATAAGAGTGTGTGCGTGATATGTGTGTGTGCGTGTATGTGTGTGTGTGAGAGAGAGAGGGAGATGCAAAAAGTTCGATAAATTAATGCTTGTGCCTTGTATCATTTGCAGCTAGAGCGGCAACTGAATACTCTTTCCAACAAGGAGGAAGAAGAGAGGATAAGGAAAGAAAATGAAGATCAATAACAGAAGTCCACATGCTCCAAGTAGCAGTTTGCAGAGTAAATAGCAGCATGATGCTAGAGAACTTTCCATGATGCCTCCTTGCTCCCATTGAGTACCCTGTAAATTAATTGTAAAATTATTATGTTGAAGGTGAGGCATGTTCACCCAATTTTGAGATGATCTTCCTCAAAGAAAAAAAAAAGAAAAAGGAAAAAAAGAAAGAAAACGAATGTTGCATGTGTGTATTTTTTTGCAGTTCATTGCTATTATCTTTTTATTTAATAATCATGTGCTATTCCCATTTTATCCTATGGGCAAGGAGCGGTCGTCATGGTGGAAGTGGACTTTGTTACAGTTGTATATTTGAATTTTATTTTCCAAGTTTTATTTATGCCAACTCATGGGCATATGTTTATTGTTATATGTAGTTTAATTTGTCAAAGAAAAGAAAAAAGAATATCGATTAGCTAATTTTTCAAAGAAAAGAAAAAAGAATATTGATTAGCAACTGTTAATCAAGAACTCATGGTTCTTTGGTTTTATATGGTACTCTTCAACTGTCAATTCGCACTCCAAAGAATATAAAAAAGTATGGAAAGGAGACGTATCCTCCATTCATGGACGATGCATGGGACCAAGAGTTTACAAGCTGATAGGCTACTCTGGGCCGCTTCCCAAGGCTTGGGCCTGCTAGCGGAGCGGCCAGTTCTTTTCCAATTCGGCCAATTTAATTTGTTTTCATAAACTTACAACCGTTATTTCAATATTTCTGCAAAATACCTAATAAAACTTTGTAGTAAAAAAAAAATCTAAATCAATTGTGAGTTTTTCCTTTTTCGTTAGATCAGTCCCCTTTCTTTATTCTTTTCTCAAGAGGACAAGATTTTCATCTTTTTTTAAACCGCTCGGTAAGATCTGAATTTTTGGACTACAGCTGGTTTCAGATAAGATCAGAAGATGAAACATTAGTTTTCTCATTTTGAGCTCAATATTTTATTCCAATTCAAATGCATACTTTTTTAATGAAACTAGTTGTTTTTCCTTTGGATCTATCTTTTTCTTTTTTCCTTCTTTTTTTTTATTGGCTTTTTTTCCTCCAAAATTTATTTGCAGCTTTTTAACACCATGAATTGCCAAACCGACGTGCCAAGTCGGAACCACTGGGTGATTGGTTTGATCCACCAGTGCAATGGTTTACACATTGCTTCAAGATAAAAGCCTTTTCCAAATTGATCACCATGGTTCTCTATTTGCTTTTTCGTTGACTTATACCATGCATTAATATACGATGTATGAGTCAGGATTCGATCAACAAAAGGACTGCTCAACTTTTCCAAAACGAGCATGACTTCGATTTGATCCATTGGTTGGAAGACAACTGATTTGGGCTATTTAAACAAAGGCCTTTCATGAGGTATCATCAACGTGTGATTATTTTGACAATAATTGGCCTTAACATTCCCATTTTTCCTCAACCAAGGTGAGCACTTCATGTACAATTTCAAGTTTCTTTTGCCATATCAACACAGGGTATAGGGGTTACATGGTCGAGGAGATCCAACAAACACCAACTCCCATTGCTTCAACAACTTCTGAACTGATACATCATGTATTAACACACACACTCACACTCATACACATCCACACCCACACCCACACCCACACCCACACCCACACCCACACACAGACACACCCCAACTCACTAAACTTCCTTTAACAAAAGGTTCCAACAGCAACCTTAGTGAAAGATGTTAAAAAATTGAGCAAGAGAAACACCGAAAAAGGTTCGCTTATATGAAAAGAAAATGCAGTGGATCCCTTGGAAATTGATCTACTTCTCTTTGGTCTAAGGTCAGTAAGCAAAAGCAAAGGCATGATTAATGGGTTCTGGAGTCCGCGGTGGAGATTGTGTTCTCACTTGTACAAGAACCAGGATCGGTTGAGTTACTCTGCCTTGGAAATGGAGTTCTCTGATGTGCCAACTCTTTTAATTGCTGATCCACAAAAAGAGAAACAAAAACCGAACAATTCGTGAGATTGCAAGCATTCAAACATTGAAAAGTGTAGGATAGTTTTTCTTAATACACTTACAGAGATAAGGCCCAAATTATAAATTCAAGAAAAATGCAATGAGATTTAAAAAAAAGTTACAAAATTTACGGCAGGTAGTCATGCATCACAGAGATAAGGCCCAAATTACAAATTCAAGAAAATGGAATGACAAAATAAAGTACTCTCTCTCTCTCTCTCTCTCTCTCTCTCTCTCTCTCTCTCATCTGGCTATGTCAAAGCAGTATATTTAGGTATCCATGTCTGAAACCCAGGACACGCGAGACCCCGAGAGGAATGAATAGTTCCCTGGCCCTGAATGGGATGGACGGTCACAGGCCCCCTACTTTGCTCACCCAGGTCTGCCAGTACAATACAGTTCTGAGAAATATTTTAAGAGTAATATCACCACATAACATTTCTCGTGAGGTATAATATTTCTCATGAACTTTCAAGGTGATGGACACATAGCATACAATGTCTCATCACACAGTATCGAACGATGATCTTCATACTGATAAGTGGCCAAGTGGTTTAAGAGCAAGAGCAATCTGGAGCGTCCAGACCAAATCTTTATATTAACAGAACTGCATACCTTAGACCGGTAAGACTTGATGGCTGCAACAAGCACCTTGTCTCCAGCAATTTGTCTCACTTTCTTGATCATGCACTCCCTCGTAATTCTCTTCTCCTGAAATTTTTAGTATTCGAATAAGATTGAGTTAAGAATAAAGATAGTCGATCAAAAGAGAGTAAGGATATAAAACTACCAAGTAACTAGTGTGATATTTCTCAATCAGGCTGATACTGGAAGGTGGTAAGATCCCTGCAAGTACAGAGATCAACCTTGGAAACGGCATCCAAGCAGAACTTGGTTTTCTTGCAGCACTCTCCCCCTTCACATGGTGAGCAACCACAAATGGCACTTTTGCTGGTTTCTGATTAGCAAGAACAAACAACAATTAGAATCAATTGGAGTCATGCAAAGTTTCCATGATCAATATGAGGCGGCAAATGCAAATTGGAGGGTGTCAAATACATGAATTCAAAGCTCTAGGAGAACAGTCAAGAATCAGTTAGAAATGATATTCACCTTTTGCTGAAGTTGCATCCATTTTCCAGGTGAATTTCCAAAAACGTGAGGATTTGAAGCAATCAAACTTTCCATGGAGTCTGCTTTCCAATTCCTCAAAGAGAGTAATTCTGAAGCACAACATTCAAAATACTAGAGTCAATATAAACTTCCATAAACAATTCCATAAAATTCGTATAGATAAAGGTATCCAAATTTCTGAATTATAAGAATGAACAGAAACAGCTAAAGTAAGATCAATTCCCGAGTAAACCACTTACTTGTCAAGTGAGGATGAGAAACCTTGAAGCTCACTACATATTCTGGCAATATATGAGTGTTCATATGTGTGCTCCAGACAATATATCTTGATGGGGTGATTGGATTATCCACCCCTGAATCGAATTCTTCAGAACTGGGATGGAATTGCTCTGACCCAGTTGGGACTAGCTCCATATTTCCCATAATAACGCGACAAAGTAACATGTGTTGCTGGCCATCGTCATCGACATTGGAGTACACCAAACTGAAAATTAGGCAGAAAATTAAAGCTCTATTTTTAGTTAAAGCTTCAGTAAAATTGAAAACCCACTACAACAGTTAGGCATGTATATCCAGGAGGCAATAACATGAGAAAATATAATATACCAAGACAAACGTTGAATCCATGCATAAATGCTAATATCCCTAGTATGTATTGATTCACGCACATGAACATAGAAGTGAGCACACAGAAATAGTTACTGCAGTTACGCATGCTGACATATTTAAAGATTGTGTGTGTTATGTTGTGGGTCTGAATAACTTATTTATGTTGCGTATGTATAAAGAGTTATATGTATGTACGACCATATGACTGCAAATCTAATCACATATAAGACACATATTTTATTTTACTGAGGAAGAATAAATAGGGTTGTCAATTCCGAATCCTCTCCGTAAGTCCTTTTCCCCTCCAATTTTCCGAGAATCTTTCTCAAAGATTTGGGAAATCCTCTACCTCCAAAAATCTCTTTAAGAAGAGTTCCTACTGAAATAGGAACCCACAACAAAAGAACCATTTTAATTCCCTTCAATTCTTCTAAATCTTCTCTTTCAATTCTATCAAGTACAAATAAGAAATCTCACAAAAATAGGCAGATATTCCTATCAAACAACTAGGTATTTACCTCACTTAAATAGCTTATCAATGTTAGAAAGGCATTAAAAAATAATTGGAATTCAGGTAATACAATTAAATCTGAAAAAATTAAGTAAAAATCAAATGGGAAAATTGACTTCCCCAAGCCAAATAATATAGAATGAATTAAAAAGTATCTATCAATAAAGATCCCTAGAGTTAAAGATAAAATATTAATTCTCTAATTAAATAAAATATTCCAAAACAAAAATTTTCTATCTAAGCTGGAGCATTGTGTGCTGCACATGCCCTTAGCTATAAGATGTATATGTAAAAACATGTTATAAATGTACATGCAAATATTGATATCTAATTTTTACTCGAACTAAGTCACATAAAGTGTCTCAGGTAAAAGTGGCAATACGTGTGGCAAGGGGCTGGGCCAGCTGGCCCGGCCCATGTCCCATCGGGCCAGCCTTAGTCTAGTCTGGGCCGGGGCCAGGCCAAAATAAATGAAGTAAAAAAAAAAAGGCAAAACAAAATAGGATTGGGCTGGGCCGAATCAGGCCAACACTAACCCTAGCCCAGCCCTCGGGTCACAATTATATGGACCAAGCTCTACTTTTTTTGGGACCAGACCGATCTAACGGGCTGGTCCAGGCAGCCCCGCCCATTGCTAGCCCTAGTCTTAGATCATTACGAGCTAAAAAACCAATAAGAGATGCATAGAAAAGAAATTTTATGAACTAAATATTAAAATAAATAAGAAACAGATCAACCATTCCGGTTAATCGCAATCGTAAAAACCTAATTTCCAAACCTATACAATTGATTATACACATCCCAAGATTCATGAAGTACCTGTCAATGGATGAACCCTCGGGTGAAAGGTATATCCCAACACCATTGGCTCCTTTGCCTTCAGGTCTATTGCAAAGACCAAAACCATGAAGTATAACTTGGGAAACCCCATCTTTACCGGAGCCATGCCAAGCATATCTGATATTGGCATCACCTCCACACTTCTTAGCAATGGCATCCGAATACAAAGAAAATGCTTGCAATCTAGCCTGTCCTGAAAAACTAGAATGAGAAATTTTGTGAATACTCACAACACCAGTGTAACTCATGAGAAACCCTAGACCTGAATAAAATCGGCCTTGAACAAAGCAATGTTCTTCGTCTCCCTTCTTCAACTCAATCAACTCATCTCCAAAGAAGCGAAACCCCAAAGTAATATCCCCACAATTGCCTCCTGTTTTATAATTAGGGTTACCGAATGAAGCCATATTATCTGTGTAATCAACAGGCAAATAAACTCTAGGAATTGTCATCACTGAAGAAACCTTTTCCATCCTCCTTTTATGTCTTTGACGCTCGTATCTAGCAAAATTCAGACAAGACAACAAAGAATAAGCTAGGATCAAAGTGAGCCTGAGTGGATTTACAAAACTTCAGACTCAAGTAACCAATACAAGTGGGTACCAACTTAAAGCTCCTTCTCAACTTTTCAATCGATATCAAATTAACAAATGAAAACTCCTTAAGCTAACTCTAATATGCTTGCTAAAGAAGTTGAATGCAAATTCGCATCATTCTTCCAGTCTCCAAGATGAAATTACACTAACTCATGATATTATATACTTACTACCAAAGATGTTTGAATATCAGTTTATCTTGATCTAATACCAAAGATGTTTGAAGTTCATCTTGATCTCCTTGATCTCACTGGAGGAACACTGGTTAAAAGAATAAGTAAATATGAATCTCCTCGAATCTCCTCAATTTGTTGTACTTCAAATTTAGAGCTTCAGGAGTAAAATATCCAGAACATAATCCAAATTCTAATTACTTTCAAGTCTTTCACAATTGAAGATCAAGAAGCTGAATACTAATCATCTGTAATTGATATTGTGTTCTGCTTAGATATGCAGAATGGGATGTAATGAATAACCTGAAAGAAATATACAGATCCTTGTTTTCCTTGACAAAACATTCGACTTCAATCCAGAAGGACATCAAAGTCATCAAGAGACCAATCAAAACACTAAAACTAATTCGCACTAACTGTCAGTAGTAATAAGAACTGCTACTAAATCAGAAAATTCAATCCAAGAACCATTAATTGACACTTACCGAACAAACTTAAGAGTTGGGATCAATTCTAGCGATCGACAAACTTGTTTTTTGAACATGTTAACCTTTTAAATTTCTTTTTCTCCTTTTTTTTTTTTGGATAGCTCAGAGGGGAAAGATCCCCTTGCCCTTGAGTTGGAACGACTTGAGCCTGGGATCCAAGCACCGCGAATTTATTGCCTGACGTGCCAGCATGTTTATACCCAGGCTTCTTGCCTTTATATCCACTAAACCAGAAATGATCACCAGAGCACTTATTCACAACAATCTCACTACTTGAAATCTAAACCTAAAATATTAAGAACAAAATATAGTCAGAAGAGCTAATCCTCTGACCCCGCCATTCCAAATAACTGTAATAACCAACCAAACAGTTGCTCACGCCAATTCCGCTTTCCTTCAACCTCAACACAAATTAAAGACAGATATACATGATAACATCAACCATCGTATCCTTGGAATCTGAAGATAACTAAAGCAGCAAGCCAACTACATTTAGCTTCTTTAAACCACAAATTTCTCTCAAGATAATCAAATCAACATACAGAGCATCAATTCACCCGAATTCCCCTTATTCTCATTTCATATACGATTAGAAGCAAAACAACCAGGCAAAAATCAATGAAACAGTAAAATCCTCATATCAACACATACCAATCAATTTCCACAGAAACGTATCTTAATGCCTCCAATGAGAACCCTAATTCCGCAAATTAGGGCCAAAATATTCACATAAGAATCACAACAACAGAAGAGAAAAGAAGATATCAATTTCGGAGCCAAAAATCCAGAAACTCGGCTCAAATTGAGCAGAAAGAAGAATTAAATACAAATAGGGAGAAGAGACCAACCTTTGAAGAGCATTCAACTTCAGAAATCCCTGCGATTTGGTTCTGGTTTCCCTCTCAAAACATCTAGAAAGAGATCGAGCTTTGAACCAGAACAGAGGGCAAAAATGGATATTTGAAGGTATTTATGCGCCCTCTGTTTTGGCGGTGTGGCGGCAAATTGTTTACCGACGCCGCCAGTTTTGAGGGGGCCTTCGGTTCTCGTAAGAGAGGAATTGAAAAATGATTATAGTAACCCTGTTGAATTCTCGGAATATCGAGATTGGGGTATTTGGCGGTAAAGTTACGGATTTGCCCTTTGAATGAGCAGTTACTTACGCGCAAGAGACCGCTGCTGCCGTTCCAACACGGCTATCTGACCGACCTCGGTCAAGCGATAATGTCCAAACTACCCCTTATTTTTGTTTTTTAGGGGGAGATTATTTATTACTATAATAGTCTCCCTATGAATTTCCAGCTGTTGAGGTAAACATGCCTTATTTCTCAAGAAATCCCATGGGTACCTCACCTCCTACGATACTAAAATACACCCTCAACTTGAATTGCTTTTACCCTTTTACTTCCTTATGAACTTTTTATAAGGCATAGGCTTTATGAAAACAAAATAAAGCTTCACCTCAACTCCTCATCTAGAAAGCAATTTCGGCATTCGAAAATATTCATGATGGCTCTAAAATTAATTTCTACTTACAGTTAATTTTGAAACCAAAAAAATGATAGAGATCTTGAGGATTTGTGAAGACTAATTTTAATACGAAATGGACTGTCTGAATGATTTGTTGCACTATACACTATTTTTACAATTAAAAATCCTAATTTTTTCACAACCATAATGTTCAAGCCGAGATGATCGATTTTAAAGTTTTTCAACACTTGACTTGCAATTTTCGATGAGTTATGAGGCGAGGCTTTACTTGTTTTGAGAGAGCTACAAGAAGAATTAGCTCAATTTATTATTAAGAAAATAAAGAATATATAAGGGATGGCCTACAAATATCTTTTGTAAGATGACGTCACAACTATTCATACTCATTAGATGTCAAATTGGTGAGTCACAAAGTTCTAGTTTTTTTTTGAAACTTTGTGTCTAACCAATAACACTCTTACCACCACTCATTTTAAAATCTAAAGGACAAAAATGATTATGACCTTCTTATACAAAAAGTAAATAATCTCTTTATAAACAATACCATATATAAATGAGGTGGGATTTTGGTAAGGCCGTGTGACTATTTGCAGCAGCATGTCCATTTTGTGATGTCCCTATAATGGAATTGAGGTAAATTTTGCACCTCATGATGTTGCATGTTGGAAGTATGAAGTCCTTTAGAAATGGGAGGGAGAACCTACTTACCTATATAGTATATGTGACCCTTGGTCTGGGTAGATGGCTGAGATAACTCGAATCATAACATCACAAGCTGGCACTTAAACCGTCAGATCTAGATCAAATGGCTCATAGTATTTTATTTTTTATTTTATTCTACAAATAATTTTGAAGCAAAATTTGTGGCATGCATAGATCTAACAAGGACACACATAATAAAAATATTTTAGGTGATGAAAATGACTAAAATACCCCTGAAAATTGTAGAGACATTTTTGTCATTTATTTTTATGTAAAATATTTATGTTTTATTATTTCCAAGTTTACCTTATTTTTCTGATGGGACGGGCAAATTTTCATATAAAAATATTTTGTAAAAAAAATAAAAAATAAAACTTTGTTTGATGTGACATTGTGGTATGAACAATCGTAGATGTTTGATTCAAATCGAAGGACTAAGAAGTGAGAACGTATATAACTTATACATTGTTGGGATCACATAAAAACATTTTCAATTAGAATAAGTAGAGGATATATTAGTCAATTTTATGAGAATAAGGATCCATTATTCCTTTTCGGTGTTTTTCTTGGAGAATAAGGCATACAAAAGTAGAACATCGAATTTGAGGCTATTCCACAAGGATACTTTCTTCTTGTTTGTATACTTTTCCAAAAGAAAACGGCTCTCCTATTCATTGGCCCAAGAAAACGGCTCTAATACTCCATCTCCAATATTAGGACATTACTGACATTAAGTGTGTCACCATCATCATCATTGTCAAAGCTTTTTTTTCAATTAATTGGGGTTGGCTACACGAGTTTTGGTCAATCATCATACTCTATTAAGGGTCATATCTTATATAAAGTCATTAAGTCGTCATATCTTTTTTCGCTACTTCCAACAATAATTGATTCAATTTATTATTATAAAAATAAAGCATAAATAAAAGGGGTGGAATTTTGATCAGCTCGCTCAACTATTTGCTATTACATGTCTATTTTGTGATGTGTCCCTATAATTGATTCCTACCCGTACTATGGAATTTGAAATTTCTTTGTTCCTGAAATTTAAAGCTTTACAACTATAAAATTGTTACAAATATTGCGGATCTACGAAGATATGAAAATGAAAGACCAAGAAAAGCTTTACAAGATGAACACTTTTAGAGTTTAGATGTCAATCTCTTTTTGTAGATTATGTTCATTGAGGTTGAGATGACGAGGTTTGCAAGTTTTTGGGTGTACAAGGCTGGTTTTTTCTGGCAAACGGAAGTAGTACATTACATGATCATTTTCTTTCACATTGTTTTTCGTTTTTGATATGTTAACGGCCGGTGGGACTACATGATCATTTTCTTTCACATTGTTTTTCGTTTTTGATATGTTAATGGCCGGTGGGGGTTATGTTGAGGCATCTGATCATTTTTTTCACAGTCAAAAAGATATATTGACGTTTTCGTGGTGAGCTCCAATGGGAGGAATAATCATTAGTGGGCTTTTTTATGAACCGTTTGGATCTTAGATTATTCAAATGGATTGCCCAGTTTTAAGATGGCATTTTTCCTAAATAAAATAAGGAAAATTGTTTCATGTAGGCTGGATCGCATTTCTACATATGCGATCCAAAAAGTATAAAGCATCCATCTTTAAAGATGGATGCAAGCAGGTGTTCCATCTAACAATAATAGAAACTAACGGTCCAAATTTTTTTTTACAAGAATTATTATTTTTAGTTTTTAAATTTTATTTATTTATTATATTTATGAACTCCATGTTAGAGATTACATGCTTTTAAAATTTAAGTATTAAAATCCATCTCAAAAATAGATTTATTCAGAGACCCGCATTTATATATATATATATATATATATATGGGCGGGTCCATAAAATAATGGTAAAGTAATTGTTTGAGAGGTGACCTTAAACAATCCAAACAAGGTGTACTTGCAAAGCTCATCAAAAGATGCAATTTTGGTATTTGGAATTGTAATGATGACCTCAAAAACTACTTCATATCTAATTATAAAATTTAAAAACTCTGAAAATGATACATATCGAGCAAAATTCTATAAATACATGGAAATCTTGAGAATGGACTATCTAGATAATGTATTATAAGATGCATAATTTTTACACTTTAAAAGAAAAAAAAAATCACTTCTACATATCTCAACGTCAAGATACTCGATAAAAAAAAATATCAAAACGACCTTTTCCAATGCGTTTTTGAAACACGTCTTTTTTTTTCATACTACAAAGTTGCAAACTTATACAAATATTTATCTTTAAAGTTAAATTGAAGTGCAACTTGCTCTAGTTGCTTTAATGCAAGTTGGTATATGTAGCAATTTGGCCAAGCGTACTATGCCTTGGAAAGGCCAAAATGGTATTTTGTATGAAGTAGGGGCAAAATGGTAATCTTGGGACGTTTAGCACAGTGCTTAGTAGGAAAGAGGGGCATAATTGGTAATTTTTGCAAGCACCTTTATTGTTTCCTTAGTTTTGAACACTAAGAAAAGGGATAAGGACGAAATTGCCTATATTATTTTAGTAAATGACCTTTGCGCCCACGACTTTCTGGGTCGGTGTAACATACTGACGAGAGTCTAATAAACATGCGGCGCCTCTCCTTTCATATAATGGCGCGCGAAAAAGTTGGTTTTGGGGTAAGATATTCGGAGAAGGAGCGCATTAAGCAATGCTCCCGCAGGAGCATATTATAAGAAAGTCTCTCTCTCGATGGCCCTCTCACATAAATAAGAGGCACTTTCTTCGTTCATAGAAACTGGTTTCTTTTAGCCCAAGATACAGGGAGAAATTAAAATATATATATCTCTCTCTCTCTCTAAAAAATTTATTCAGGGAAAATTTTGAAGTTCGAGGTCTTGATGTTTGCGACCTCAATTTTTTTCCATTGATTAAGCATCATGCATGATTAAGCATTCAATAAAAATGAAGAAGAGAAGGGTTCATGCGTGATTAAGTCTTTGCCGCGTCCATGCTTCATAGACTAAACAAACGCTTGACACCTGACTGCCAGCTTCTAACTTTATACCAACTGTTATTCAATTACTTTTAATATGGTTTAGCAAAAAAATTATACCAAGGTGCACATCAAAAACTCACCACAAGATGTCGTTTTATGGTTAAAAAAGATCATCTCAATCTTGAAAAATATAGGCACAAGTACTGTCCATTTTCAAGATTTTTAAGTGTTTGTAAATCGACTAAATCTACACTAATTTTTACTCTTTAAATTTCATGTTGGAGACAGAGATGCACCTTACTTTGATTGTTTATGGTATCAGCCTTATACAAACCGCACCTGTAATTTATAGTGTTTCTTATCCCCCGTGAATTAAGAATACGAGAAATGTAGTTATTGCCCTTTATAGTCTCACCTATTAACAATAACTCCACATTTTATCGCATTAAGTACTTTATAAATATCTCATATTACCTCCTCTAAACGCCCATATTATCTTCTTTTTTTTTAAATTTCATTCATCTATAAGTTTCCCAAACTAATTCTCAAATAACACTCATATTCTTTCTCCCTTTATTTCTTTTTTCTCAAAATCCATAAACCCAACCCTTTGTGCCCCTCTTCTCTCTCTTGGCATTGGCCTTGATGATTTTAAGGAGTATGTTAGTGGTGATCAATATGCTTTTGTGATTCACAAAAATACAAATTTGGGCCGATGGGACTCGAGAAATAAGAAATAAAGAAAAAAGAGAAAGAAAGGGTATGAGTGTCACTTGAAAATTAGCTTGGTGTACGAAACAAAAATTAAAATATATAATGATAGTAAAAACACTCCGAAAGGCTAGAATGAATAAACATCTTACATAGTTTGATAGAAATAAACAAAATAAGTGTAATTTTTAGGGCATGATAACTTCGCTTTCGCTTTCTCTCTGTGTGACTCATTTGGGATAGAACCGATTTTGTTAGTCCTACCTCTTTAGTTGCCATCTCGCGCCCATAGCTTTCAATAATGCAAGGGACTCTTTGTTTGTGAGCCAAAGGACGTCTTACCTTTTGGACTTATTAGGGGCACCACTTCCCTTTCACAAATACCCTTTTAGGGGCCTTTAAGTTTCTAAGAGGGACACATGTCCGTTTGGAAGAACACAACTTCATGAATTGAGAAGTTACTTTTTGTTAGCCCGATGCCAAACAATGTCTAGAATAATGAAGTTTGCTTCCTTGAAAATGTAAATGTTAAATACTTAAATGTATTTTCCTTAGTATTTCATTCAGTAAACTTCTTGGCAATGCATGTCTTTTGTCCTTTTGACTATATATATATATATATATATATATATATATGCCTTTCATAGCGTTCAATACGCAACCCAATAACGAGGTTGGACTTCTACTTAAAAACATAAAAATGGTGCGGTTTGTATTTTGTATTAAGATTGACATTTTAGACAACAAAAAGTAAGGCGCACTTCCTGGAAATCCAACTGATGGCTGAAAATCTATTTCACCTCTAGTTATAGAATTTAAATTTTTAAAAATGATATAAATCGAGCATATCAAAACCTTTTTTTTTTCCTACTACAAATCGAATCCTGTGAAGAAAGGGTGCAGTTTATATGAAGATCCAAATCGAACCCTCATCTCACCCCCCATCAAAACCCCTCTCTCTCCCTCAAGCTCACCCATCAAAACCACCCCCATCGAAACCCCTCTGTTGCCCTCTCTCTCTTTCTCTCTCTCTCTCTCTAAAGTTCACCCACTATATTGTAATGTAGTAATTAAGGGTCGGGTACCCGAAAGGGCCCGGGACCCAGACCCCAACCTGGAAATAGGACATATTGGACCGGGACCCTACCCACGAGTTCAGAACTACGTCCCATACCTGGACCCGAGTCGGAATCGGGTATACCCGTAAGTCCCAGCTCGGGTACAAATCCATTGTCAACCCTAAACCTATCCAAGTGCCCTGCTCCCATACATATAAGCATTTCAAATGCTGGTATGTTGAAAGAGGAACAATACTAAGCCCAGGCCACGGGTGGCCCCAACCCAGCCCAGCCCAGCCCAGCCCAGCCCAGCCCATGCCAACAATTTACTCTAGGCCAGAACCCAGACCAAACGGAAACCTTACACTTTAGGGCAAATGGAACCCAGACCAAATGGAACCCAAACCAGGATCTCTTTAAACCAGCGTTTTAAAAAACGCCGAGTCGAACCGGACTCGCCCGGTTCGACTCGGAAATCGTGAAAAAGGAACCGGATCGCCCAAAAATCGGAAATCGTCCGGTTCTAGAGAGAATCGGACGATTCTGTACAGTGAATCGACGATTCCGTACGGAATTTTTTTTTTTTTTTGTAATCCATGATAGATTTTTTTGTAATACTTGATCGATTTTTTTGTAATCCATGATCGAATTGTTTTTGTTTTTTTGTAATCCATGATCGAATTTTTTGGTTTTTTGTAACCCATAATAGAATTTTTTGTAATCCATGATCGAAATGTTTGTTTTCTTTTCTTGTAATCCATGATCGATTTTTTTGTTTTTTTTTTTTTTGTAACCCATGATAGAATTTTTTGTAATCCATGATCGAATGTTTTGTAATACATGATCGAAATGTTTGTTTTTTTTTGTAATCCATGATCGAAATGTTTGTTTGTTTTTTTTTAATCCATGATTGAATTTTTTGTTTTTTGCTTTTTTTGTAACCCATGATAGAGTTTTTTGTAATCCATGATTGAATTTTTTGTAATCCATGATCGAACTATTTTTTTCTTTTTTTGTAATCCACGATTGAATTTTTTGTTTTTTTTGTTTGTTTTTTTTTGTAATCCATGATCGAATGTTATGTAATCCATGATTGAATTTTATGTAATCCATGATCGAATTTTATGTAATCCATGATTGAATTTTTTGAAAATTTGTGATTTTTTTTGTTTAATCCATGATCGAATTTTTTTTTGTAATCCATGATAGAATTTTTTGAAAATTTGTGATTTTTTTTTTAATCCATGATCGATTTTTTTGAAAATTTGTTTTTTTTTTTTTAATTCCATATTATTCAAAGAGAACACGAGAGAGATGATGATTCTGAGGCCACCCTATCCCAGCCATATTATTCACATATCGAGTCCCAACAGCAACAGTGTATGGATGAGCACGAAATACTGTAAATTAAATGCTGAATGGCGGTTCATGCAGGGAAAGAACATATCAATATTCGCATATTCGTTCAAAAACATGAAAATTCTTAATGGAGTACCCTCATTTTTTATTGAATTCTTAAAAACCAATATTTATAATGAATTTTAATAATTTTTTCAAATTTTTTTTAAGCTTTATTTTGACCGATTCACCCGATTTTCGATCCGGAGCGCCGATTCACAGATCCGGATCGGTTTTTTGGAAGCCCGATCCTGGTCACCGATCCGTTTTTTAAACCATTGCTTTAAACAATGGCCAAGCTTGGTTCTAGCCCAACCCAACCCAACTCGAGCTCGAACTTCTATCGGGTTTTGTTAACCTATCCCTTGATGTGCAAATACATATATTCACATCCTAGAAACATTGCACATCGTGATGTATCATTTGAACTATTTTCAAGATGTACTAGATCTACATTATTTTCAAATTTTGAATTTTATGTTCAGAGGTGAAATAGATTTTTAGACCTTCAATGGGATTTTTGGCACTGAAATAACATTTTTAAGCATTACTCTGATTGATTAAGACGTCAACCTTATACAAACCTCACTTCTTCTATACTGATATACATAAATTAAACAAGAGGCAAGAGGCTTAATAAGACAATTGAATAAAAATCCTATTTTTGAAAGAGAAACAACCAAGATTGAACAAAGACAACAAATCCCATTCTGCGAACAGGAGCAATGTTTTTTAACTCGCCACGGGCAACGCACTCGGTCAGGCTCGAGGCAAGTAACTCGGTTGCAGTTGCGTGGAGTACATGACTAAAAAGACCCAAAAAATAAAAAATGATAGACAAATTGTTTGAAAATAAAACAAAAATTTTAGAAGTTAAACACAACCAAAGACCATAAAAAGTCCAAAAACAGCAAGTAAAAAAAACCATGGATATAGAAAAAAAATTAATGGTTGGAGATATTTTAATTTTGAATATTTATGATCGGATATATTTTAGAAAAATCCAGAAAAGGTGAAATAGGCCATATGACAAGAAACATTCACAAATCATTGTAAATAATAATAGTAATAATAAATCCACATTACATATATAACTTTTTTTATTGTACTATTTATCGATCTTTTTAAAAAACATTTTAAGTGGCCTGAGTTGCATCCTTGAAAGCACTTGGCTCAGGAAGGAGCCAAGTCGGAATAACTCACCGAGTCTGTGTGCACTCAACTGGGTTTGCAATCACTAAGTCGGAGAAGATATACAGAACATCCTCTTACAAATAACAGAAAAATTTGAAAGAACGATCATACATATAAATCTATCTTACTCGTGTATAAGACATAGCCGGTGCAGATCATCCAAGATGCCATATGGACGTACATCCCCACTGTCCACTCAGTAAGGTTCATATCAGTTACACTAAATTAATGAATTAACTTTCGCTGGGGCTCTGTTGCTGTTGTCTCAAGAAACCATTACCCTCTCTCTGAGTCAATGCAGTCATCTCAATAAAACACCCTCTCTCTCTCTCTCTCTCTCTCTCTTACTACTCTACGCTAACGTACCGTT